TACCATCACAGTGACAGCAATGCTGTTACAATGTGGAAGGGATTATCCTCCATAGGGTGTTTCTCATGTGTCTTGTGCTTATCAAAATGTGTCCCCTGGCATGTTTAGAGGGGGGAGAAGAGAGGGAAGATTTCATTATTATAATAATAAAACTAACATTAGGTAACTCATGGTGATTTAAAATATTGCGAGCTGCTGCTTGTCACCTTGTGGAGCCCATTGCAGCAGAATTTGACTAGCTCATTATTTATTGCAAGGGGAAAAGGGAATTCAACTTTTACCCATGTTTTTATGGCATGCTGGATACTCCACTTACACAACTACCTAAGGTCAAACACTTTAACCCCTTGAGATCTGCTAATCAGGAGCACCAGCTGCTAAGTGCCAGCTAGCATCCTGCATTGGTGCCTGGGGAGGAGGAAGGGTTGCAACGGATATGACCCCAAACTTCAGAAACCGCTTCTCTCCTTGGGGGCAAAATATCATTCAGCTTGCATCTTCTCTTGTTTTCTTTTAGTTTATCCAGTTAATTTTCCTGATGTGGGTCATTGTGCACTCACTGGGAATGCTTCAAGCCTTTAGGAAGATGATAGTTAATTATTGAAGTTAAAATCTGGCTTGCACTGGTGTGGAAGTGCTTTCAGAGGTATTTACTCAGCTAGCTTACTGAGCTGCCGAGGGCAGAGGGAAGGCTGGTAGTATCTGACTAACAGTGAATTACTGCAAATGCATGTTCAGGCTGGTGTTTTTTTAAAAAAAACAAAACAAAACAAACAAAAAAAAAACCACATTGCACAGTCATTTTTCACAATAGAGCTGGTACAACATTAGCTCAGTCTAACACTAAGCTAGATTCTAGTAATGAAATGCATTGTGAAAAAGGAACCTGCCACAAAGGCAAACCAAATTTATTTCCTGCAGAGTACAATACAGTCAAAAAGTGAAAAGGAAGTTCTTTATTCTTTAAATGCTTCCTTTTTTATCCCCCTCTTTATTTTCTGAACCCAGTAGTGCTTTTAAGTGGACAGATATGTATTGGCGAGGAGGAATTATTGAAAACATTGCCTTTTTGACATATTTTGTGCTCTCTTTTCCAATTGTCAGTGCTCTCCAGCCAACCATTTTTAATCCTTCCTCTAGATCATTTTTTGTATGACAATAAATTGACATCTTTATCTATTACTGGACTTCATAGTTTAGTACCCCAAGCAAAACACTTCCAGTAATGGGGTATCGTTGGAATCAGAGGGTCAGGTTCTTCCAGCTTGGACTCTAAACCAGTGCATCAAATTTAGTTTGCATGTGGGATTTCCAGATAAGCAATGTTTAAGATACCTTAGCAACGTGTGGCTATTTTGCAGCCACCTCAGTAAAAGCATGATTTGACCCTAATGTCCTTAGATGCAATATCCTTCCCACCCAATGTCATGTAAAATATGCTGTATTTTTTGTTATCTAAAATGACTCAAAAGCATAAATAAAGTGTTACGTCATTCTCTTGTACTCTCAGATTAAAGAGAGCCTCAGTGTGGCAAAGATGTTGAAATTGTGTCAGATTACAACAAAATAATTCCAAAGAGAGTTGAAAGCTCACTGTGCAGTTAAACATTGAGCTGCTCTCACCTTGGAAGGCAGGTGGGGTTCAGACCTTTCTTGGTGACTTGAAAATTTCTTCCACTGTCCATCCTTGTCACCGCAGAACTTTCTACAGATTATGTTCACACACATCACTGGAAGTGAGCTGAATTTACATCACTTCAGCAACCTAGCATAAGTTTAAATAGGAAAAAAAAAAAAAAAAAAAAAAGCCCTCATCACAAAATGAGCTTTAATAGCGGACTAGCAATATATATTTAAAGTCATTTGGTTTGGTTTAGGCACAATAAGCAAATAGATGCAGAGCATGTAGCAGAGTATGTGGAGGAGGAAGAGAGGTTCACTCAAACCTGGCTGGCTTTATTTTACACCATTGATTTAATCCTTTTTCATGTGGATTTTCTTCTTCCAATATATTTGTCTTGCCCATCTTTGCAACATGAAGTCCTGTTGATCAGCTGCTCAAGGCACTTAGGGGGTTTCCAACACCATAATATCAGAGGTATTGAGAAATGGAAAAAAAGGAGGTAGCAAACCAATCTCTGTGTCTGCTTCATCTTGCCTCTAGCCCCCTGGCCTCTAAACAAGAAATGTGCTTTGGGGAAATCATGTTTTGCTCTCCTTCTGCTTTTAATTACCTATGGCTGAGGACATCAGAAGTGCGTGTGGTGATGGGCTCATGGGCTGGAGAACACTGATCAGTAAAAACTGATGTTTCAGGGACTTCTACTGGCAATATGCTTCAAAACAAGCTTCTCATTAAACACACTGACCCAGTAGGACTGTTCTAATGTTCCAGTGCAAGCATATGCTTTGGTGTTTTGCTAAATCAGGATTTCATAGTCAGGCATTGTTCACACTATTAGACATGTCATTCTGTTAATGATGATATAAAAGTCAGCATCATGTCAGTAGTAAATGCCTGCAATCTGCACCACAGGATTGGAGGAATTAACTCTTTCAAAGGTAAGTTCAGAAGCCTGTCTGGTATTTAAAGAGTGTTATTAGGTCTTGTCATGAACCTTTTCCCTTTTTGTCCTGAGGCTAGAGTATTTTCAAATAAAGACCATCCCTTCCTGGAGGGGTGACATACACGTCTGCAGTCATGGGGAAACCCACATGGGACTCCAGCCTGCCAGCTCCAGCAGGAGAGTCTCTGGGTTCATCCTTGCAGCACATCTCACAGGCTGGCTCAGGACTGTGGTTAACCTCATCCATGTCAGTGTCTTAAAATATTCTCACATCTTAATTTCTTGAAAAAGAGAATTCCTCTTATGTTGAGCCAAGTTGCTACTAGGATGTTTTAATTCCTGGTAATCTAATGAAGGCCACAAGTCAGACTGTAAAGCATATGTGGTACTTGCAGGGCTCTGCTTCACTCACAGACATCTGTGGTGGAACAGAAAAACCCCATGTGCTTGTGTGAGACTAAACAGTGAAATGAGCTACTGTGTTACACCACTGTGAGGGTTTTCCAAAGAGTGTGCCTTTACCGATGCTTTCCAGATGAACTGGCACTGCAAAACCTGCAACAGACTTTAGGTGTAATTACTGTCACTGTTATCAGACTTTACAGCATCTGTGACTGTGTATTGTTCTCGTCCATTGTAAGGAAGCTTGGCATGGGGGGGTGATATCTTAAAATAAAACTTTGTATTCTTTCAAAGCTCATCCCTGTAAATTCCTGTACAATGTGGGACAGTGTCGGGGGTGGGGGGCAGTAAGAAGAACCCATACAATACCCCAACCCATGGTAATTAGCAAAAATATCTGTCACATACCTAATATAAGTTGTCACTGTTATGTTTACTGAAAGGATTTATTCAATTTCTGACACAGCTAAAGAACATATTTTTGTCAATATGAAGAGTGTATTGCAAATTAATTACTCTTCTAGAGTTGAGTTATTTTTAAATATCTTCTCATGTTTTTTAAGGAAGACATGAAGGAAACCAAATTAAATCAGCTACTTTTAGTAACTTTTCTGAATTTTTGAAAAGATGGTATTGAGTTATAAAGCTGAGTAGGGTAAATGAGGAGGTGCATAATGTTTGCACTGGCATGAACCTAATTATAATTAGACTTAAGCCCTTAAATTGCAAGAACTGTAGAAATAGTGGTAAGCATTGGCCCAATCCTGCAAATCCAGTCCTGGGAACTAAGCAAGTGTATGTTCTGGATGCCTCTATGTGAGCCATTGCAGTAGCAGCATTTTAGGAGCATGACCTCCAGGCACGGTTTGGCACCAATCCTTGATAAGCCATCTAATGATGAACTTGTATGTACAAGAGGGGAAAGACCTGAAGTCTCAGTGTCCTCCTAAGTTTCAGAGGCTACAGACCCACATCTGCCCTAGAAGAATGCATGGACACCCAGGGCAGGAGGGAATAGGGGAGCAGAGATGGGGCACTTACACTTGGGCTAGGGTGACCCTTTGCCCATCTGCCTGGTCCTTTGGCGCTGTGCGATGCTCCTGCACGATGTCAAAGGGGACAGATGCAGGAGACCCAAATTCTGTTGCTGAACTTCTCAGCTCAAAGGATACTTCTAATCTTGGATTTCAAACCAAAGGGACCAAAATCCTGGTTTTCTCTTGGCCCTCTCAAAAAACATGTATCTGGTCAGGCACCTAAGGAAAATGAGGAGGGTGGTCTTGGGGAAATGGGCATCTCCCTGTCCTCTGTGGTCCTCCAGGTCCTGGATTGTTATAAGAAAGGTGAGAGGCACAAAGGTTTGCTTTGCTCTGCATAGATCACGTTTGAAAAGGAAGCACCTTCATTTGCAGTGCAGAAGGGAGCCAGTCCCCACTGCAGTGAGGCTCCATGGGCCTGTTTTCTGCATCCTGGTGCTGCAGATCTCTACACAGCAGTGGTGTCTAGGCACCCAAAGTATCACCTAAAGAAAATGCTGAATAATTGCCTGCTCAAACAGTGATCACACAGCAATACTGTATTGCAGGTCCTGAATTAGGAAGCCACAAACAGGTTTTCTGTCAGTGACAAGAGTTAACCTGAATCTTGTTTTACCAGCATAAATCTTTGTGTGGTTTGGGCCTTAATTCAGTGCATACTCTTAGAAATTTTGAAGGGACATTTGGTGGCATTGCCACGACAGACCTTTAGGTTCTACCAAATATATTCTGCTCTAGGTGCAGAAGTATTTTAAGAATTTGTTTTTCTCTGGCTTTTTTTTTTTGGAATTAAATGTTAATAAAGGCTGCCCCGACCTCTTATTTTTCTATATGAACACAAAAATTGCAGCTGCCTGCCAAGTCTGCTGAGAGATGGATGTAATAATTTTCAATTGGACTGTTAGCCCAAAGGGAACCCGATAGCAAGAGATTGACAGATGCAGCATGGATTATCTTGTGCTGTGAACTCAGCCCAATTTGTGGTTTGTTGCAGGTGCTAAAGAGATTGATATTGCTGCTACCCTGGAGCACTTGAGGGACCAGAGACCAGGCATGGTCCAGACAAAGGTACTGTCAATAAATCCACTGGGATTTTAAATACATTAAAGGTCTTTCACAGTAGTTGTTTTCATGACAGAAGAGAGAGGCTATGACCTAATTTAACGCAGGTCGCTTGCTGATTACTCTGTTTGGCTCCCTACCAACTGAGGTTTATTTACAGTGAAGATTTATCTAGGCTACTTTCTTTGGTGTTTACTGCTCTTTCTTGTAACATCTCCAGCATCTATCTTGATTACCATATATGAAGGGCAGTCAAGACAACAATCTATAGTCTACTAAAGAAAGTGTGCATTTGAAAGAATGTTCTTGCTTTCATCCTGAAATATGGAGTATTTTTAGAGTATCTGTGCTTAACTGTGCATTTAAGATTTTTTTTAAAGCTTCAGCTCATTAAAAAGAATGTAACTGCTGCACTTGATTTTTTTCTGGAAAAAAAAAGGGGGTTTTAATTAGAGGAAATAGAGTTTTGTGGGTAATCAAGTGATTTTTAGCATCTTTGAAAGTAAAAGCTTGCATCATGCCTAAAGCCATGTTCTTTGTGGCTGTAGCACAGTGACTTTATTTCTACTCTTTGGTGCAGTGAACATCTTACTCTATAATTCCTGTCAGTTTTAATACTTTTGGCATTTTTACACAATGTGAAACTTTCAAAGATAGCTGATGGTGTGATTGTAGTGCCTTAAATTAGAAATGCAACTTTCTTTTATTAACAATTTCAGTGATGTATGGAGTGATATTTTGGGGTATTTGGTGCAAATTAAGACCTGCAAATATGACAATAAAGAAATTTGTTCATGACATGGAGACCAAACAGATCTGTATTGTAAAATATCAAATGAAAGTTATAACCCCAAACTGAGTAACAAGAGCAACATGACAGCACTCTGTCTTGGCCAGGCAGGAACTGATAGGAAAGTCTGGAGCATTTAGGGAGCTGAAATTGCTGACAGACAAAGGTGAAATAAGTATGTTTTGCAGGAATCATTGATTCATAACTTTTCTTTAATCTCTTCCTAATAATTTTTATCTTCCCACTAATAGTGGGAGAAGTGGTGCTGGAGAACTGCTGGGGGGATGTTTATTATTTACCAATTAAGTAAGTGCACGAAAAATAAAAATGAGCCAGTCAAAGCTAACTATCTGCAAATAAGATAAAAAATTGCACAAATCTTCCTTCTGCTTTGATTATTCAGACTGTGAAAAAATGCATATAGCACACAGTATCTAATGTCACATATATTTAGTCTGAGGGATGATGGAAGTCCTGAGCTGCTCTGTAAATGCATCCAAAATATATGGCAACTCTGTACAGATATAGAGCTCTGATTCCAGTTTTCCTCTCAGAGCTGAGAATTACAGCTTGTTGCCTTCAAGAAAAGAAAAGAAAAAGGAAAGGAAAGGAAAGGAAAGGAAAGGAAAGGAAAGGAAAGGAAAGGAAAGGAAAGGAAAGGAAAGGAAAGGAAAGGAAAGGAAAGGAAAGGAAAGGAAAGGAAAAAGGAAAGGAAAGGAAAGGAAAGAAAGGAAAGGAAAGGAAAGGAAAGGAAAGGAAAGGAAAGGAAAGGAAAGGAAAGGAAAGGAAAGGAAAGGAAAGGAAAGGAAAGGAAAGGAAAGGAAAGGAAAAAGGAAAGGAAAGGAAAAAGGAAAGGAAAGGAAAAAGGAAAGGAAAGGAAAGGAAAGGAAAGGAAAGGAAAGGAAAGGAAAGGAAAGGAAAGGAAAGGAAAGGAAAGGAAAGGAAAGGAAAGGAAAGGAAAGGAAAGAGGAAAGGAAAGGAAAGGAAAGAAAGGAAAGGAAAGGAAAGAAAGAAAAGAAAAGAAAAGAAAAGAAAGAAAGAAAAGAAAAGAAAAGAAAAGAAAGAAAGAAAAGAAAAGAAAAGAAAAGAAAGAAAGAAAAGAAAAGAAAAGAAAAGAAAAGAAAAGAAAAGAAAAGAAAAGAAAAGAAAAGAAAAGAAAAGAAAAGAAAAGAAAAGAAAAGAAAAGAAAAGAAAAGAAAAGAAAAGAAAAGAAAAGAAAAGAAAAGAAAAGAAAAGAAAAGAAAAGAAAAGGAAAACATAGATCCAGAGCCAAAGAATGAGGTTATACTTCTCTTAGTTAGCCCAAATCCCATTAAAATCCTACTCAAGATATGCCTTTCCCCTCCAAACATTTATCTAGGAGAGCTCCAGAAAAGGAACATATCCTGTGTTTTCATCCAGGATGAACATTTTTCTCAGGATATTGCTTATCTCTCCTCTTGCTCCTTCTTCCTTGATTGTCATTTGCTCAAAACCACCCAAATCACTTACTCAAGCTGGTGTCTTGCAAATTATAAATATCTGGTTACATGCTAGCAACGCACAATCCCCAGAGAATTTTTCTGATGGATTTAAACAAACCTCTGTGCTTTCCCAACTGAATACAAATGAGCAATATTAGACTTTTGGAGTAATTTAAAACAATGGATTAAAAGTCAGGTTAGAAATGCCAATTACAGAATATCCCTAGGCAAAATAAACACCAACTTACTTCAGCAATGTTATTGTGTTTCCAGCAGGCAGCGCTCCACATTTTCAATAAGCATGTAAAAGATCTGTTTGCAACATTTTGTCATCTGGAAGGGATCCTTAATTCAAAAGTACTGCATATAATAAATGGTAATGAAATTATCATAGCAGCATTCTGGATTTCTGAGAAGCCTAATAAAGGGTTTGTGGTTTTGTTATGGGTTTGGGTTTTTTTGCAGAAGAATCATAAAATAAAATTGATACACTACATGTGAGAGGAAAAAGTAATGAAGGAGGAAGCATATTCTCTATGATGGAAAAAAAAATCTATATTTCTTTTTTTTCTCTCTCCTTCTTGTCAGTTCTGCATTATGGGTGGACTGACACCACAAAATGCATGTCCAGCTCTCTTTTCTGTGCAAAGTTAGATGTTAAAATTAATCTCCATTCCATCTTGCATATGCAAATAATGTGTGACTGACAGTGTAGCTGTACAAAACAACAAACTGAGCTTCTTTAAAAATTACTGAAATTAATTTGATCTAACAATGGTTTTTCTCATGGAAAGGTGTGGGAGGTGTGTAAAGGCTTTTCTTTGGAGGGTGGTGGTACATATCAATGGAAGCTGCATTATCTGCATTTCTCCTGTGTATCTTACACAAAAGGAAGGAGGGTGAAGATGTCAGGTGCACCATCCCAGAAAGACCAAGTCCTCTCATATCTCAAGTGTCTGCTCTGCTGTCCCCTTCACTGCAGTGTTTCAGTCAGTTTTGGGCTCTGCCTGTAAAGGTTATGCTTTATAAGTTGTTTTGCCTCAGTGATTTAGGGTTAGCTGGAAGTCTCCTAATGTTAGCTGGAAGTCTGCACTGAACTTGTCTCAAAAATCTGCATCTAAACTTTGTCATGTTCATAGAATCATATCATAGAATGTGTTGGTTTGGAAGGGACATTTAAGATCATCTCGTTCCACCTCCCTCCATAGGCAGGGAAACCTCCCACCAGACCAGGTTGTTCAAAGCCCCATCCAACCTGGCCTTGAGCATTTCCAGGGATGGGGCATCCACAACCACCCTGGGCAACCTGTTCCAGTGTCTCACCACCCTCACACTAAAGAATTTCTTCCTAGTGTCTAACCTAAATCTGTCCTCTTCCAGCTTAATATTGTTCAGTTTATGGTCGTTGGGTGGAACAGATGCTTTTCCTCAGATAGTGCAGTGGTGCCCTGTGTTCATGTGAGGGGTACCCTCCATGAGGGGTAAAGACACCTGCAGGTCAGATGGTCTTCAATCTGACAGATCTTCACAAGGAGATGAACTGATATTGATTTGTTTAGTGAATAACTTTAGAGTAATATAAGTTACTTTTAGCAATGGGACTAGTATTAAACTAGTGTAGTCCCTGAGCTTTTCCTGACTCGATACTCAGATGAAGAGCACATTAAGTAGCCTCATTACCATGGGCAGCTTCTTTTCTTCTGAACTGATGCCCACATCTTGGAAGAGGCATCTGCACATCTCTGGAACTTGGCAGCATCACTGTGTCAACTCTCATCGTGCTCAGATCAGCCTCCTCTTGTGTTCCCTGTGGTCCAGGGACTGGCAGCAATGGGGACCAGCTGTCCCACTCACATCTGAGCACTAGCATCCTGGGACTACCCATTTTGTCCCTCTTCTGCCAGCCCTGGTGCCAACCCTGACTGCCCAGGCTGCTCTGTAGGTCTCTCACCTCACAGGGCTGCATCGATGGGGTCCAGCAGCTGCCAGCTCCTCCAGCCAAGGCTCTTTTTCCCAGAGGCAGGCACTTCTCATGCATCAGCCCAAATTTCCTGCAGCTTTTTGAGCCAGGACGAGCACCCAGTTTGGTTCTGGCACAGCATGTTCGGATGAATACCCTCTCTGCTTCCACTGCCCTCCAGCTCCTCTCAGGCCTTCAGTGTGCTCCTGTTAAAATATAACTGCTTCTCCTGGGTGGCCACCAGCATTTCCAGTCTCTACTTTAATTGCAGAGACCTTAGGAAGTGCAGGGAGGCATATGCAGGCATATGCATCATTTTCTGTTCCTAATGAGGATGAGTCCTACTCTTTAGGCTGAATTGATGTCTAATTAAAAATTCTTGGCTGCAGTCCAGCAAAGTACAAGAATGCCACTTTGACAGCACCTAGAAGACATCAAAATTCTTGAATGTCAGTGTCTCTGAGAAATTATTCTGAGTTTTGTTCTTCTTTTTCTGCTCTGGAACTGTGCCCATCATTACTTGTCTCTGAGGCATCTCCACATGGGAGATGACTCTGCAATGGGCTAAGGCCAGGCAGAGAAGACTGGCACTGAATTGCAGGAATTAAAAGTCAGCTGTCTTTCTGAACTAGGAGTTACGCATCTGTAGTTTGTTCTTTCATCCCTCTTGCAAATCTATTCAGCAAAGTGAAACACTGTGGAAAATGAATGCTTTAGTCCGTAAGTACTTTCCAGGGCTGGCTGTGCCCTGCAGCCATCCACCACTGCTGCATGCATACCTGCAGCCCTGCCACACAGCCCCAGGCAGCACAAACTGTGGGGCTGGAGGTATATTCCAGACCACCAGTTTCTTAGCTGGCAGCACAGATAATATCCCAGCAGTGATCTTGGGATACTTTGCAGGATGCACATCAAACTTCCATTCTCAAAATTGGTTCTTCAACAGCTGTTGACCCTGGCTAGCTTAAACAATTGCAGTGCTTCTAGAAAATCCAGAAACTTCTCCATAGCCCTTGTCTGATGTCCTTGATTTTTCTATATTCTAAGTAAACTGCTCACATTGCTTTTTCATCTGAAAAATTGCAGACACCAAATAATCTTGTCAGGTATTTCAGAAAGATAAAATTTCTGAGAAAATCTTCTTGCTTATAAAATATAACACCTGTTAACTTTGAGGAAGTAAAGCTCCTTTGTCCTTCTGTAGGACGTGACAGTTCAGGATTGTGTTAGGATTGCACTTAGATGAGGTGGCCATTCATGGCTGTGTCCTTCACACCTCTGCCAACCCAGTGCTGAAACCTGTTAGCAGTTTTGGTTTTATGCTTGCAAAAATTTAATAGCAGAGAAAGGCCTTCCCAAGTATTTCTTAAATGTGAGTGATCTAAACATCATAAGGTAATTTGTGGGTGCAGGAAAGTGATTTAAAAGGGAGGCTGAAGAAAAACAATAACAGGTAAACCAAAAAGCAGATATTGTTTTATATGATAGGTATAAGGTGAGATGGTATTCATTCTGGCTGATTTCAACTAGAAACAGTCCTGACAAAAGGAAAGGCTCTGTGTTACTGCATCTCACCTATTTCGTATCTCAATTATGTTAACAAGTTTTCATCTCTGTGTCAGAAAGAAATGGCTGGTGATCAACTACTCCCAAGCCCCTCTGACCATGCAATTGCAATGCATCATTGTGTCCCAATAGCTTAGTTTCTGCTACCAACATTTTTCTCCATTAAAATTACTTTGGCTTCAAGATGCTGTCAAACATGTTATATGGCACCAATAATCCCAGAACATTTTGTTCCTTCCTGGTGCAGTGTACAGTTCTTCCTGCATATTCATATTTTTAAGAATGTCTTGAGGATACTTGGCTGCAGAACAGCGCACCAGGCTTTTGGAAGGTGTTGTGTTTTATTATTCAGAGTATGTGTTTGTTCTCTCCACAGGAGCAGTTTGAGTTTGCTTTGACAGCAGTGGCAGAGGAAGTGAATGCAATACTCAAGGCACTTCCCCAGTGAGCAGCTCAGTCTCCCGAAGGCTCCCCCAGGACCTGTCCCTCATTTTCCTCATCCTCAATCCCTGTGAATGTTCTTGGAAACCGTGACCTGGCTTAGCTGTGTATCTTCTGTTGTAACCACATAGTGATAGGGTCCTTACAAACTCCTTTAGCTGTAAAAGTTCAACAGTTAAAATGTGTATTCTGGTTTTTTGGGTTTTTAAACACATTTTTTAAAGTACATTGAAGCCTCGGATTAAGTGACAGAACAATCCATCTAATGCCTTTCACATCCTCAAAGCCCTGAATGTCACACTTTGAAAGCACACATTCATGTTCTTAATAGCAAATATACAGTATTGTGGGTAATTAGTGCAGTCAATATAGTCTCAGAAAACAGTGTGCTGTTATATTTTGTAACTTCTCAAAGGCCAAATAAGAGTGGGGGCCCTGAAGACGATGTTGATTGTTGCTACACAATGCCAAGCAAGAGCATGAAACAGTGCTGAGAGTGTGAGTAAACACAAGTCCAGGCTCTGGCAAAGAGATCTTGCACCTTCTCATGCTGGGCTTTGGCAGGCAAATGTTTTCTTAACTGTTGTTTACTTTTCAGCTTTGTGCCATGAATGGAAGAAAATCTGAGCTGTAAGTAAATAGGCCAGCACAGTTGTTGCAACTGGGGAGAACAAGTTGGTCACATTAATGGGAAGCTGGGGAAAAACAAGCAGAGCAAGTCTGACCGTGTAGCTACCACTGACAGCATGGAAAGGAGAGTATAGACTCACCTCAGGTGATGGGCAAAGGCCCTCTCAGCAGTCAGGTAAATGTCCAAAGCTGTTATGGAAACAGATGGTTAATCTTATGGGATTACTGAGGAAGAAAATGGGACTCTCCTCTTTATATTTTTGTGTTTCCCTCTGTAAAACTGTGCTCTGCCATCCTTTTTAGCCAGGAAAATATATTTCTGTAAAAGTCTGGCTGAAGGAGAATTCTGCAATCTGCATTTTATGATTCTCATCGAGTTTGTCAGATCCAGATGTTCGTTGCACCTTTCTGCAGAGGCTCTGCTTGCTCCTTGTTCCCAACGATAACTATTTTAACTAAACATCAAGGGATAAAGAAGCACAGGGGTTGAATGTCAGAGGTTCTTGTGTTCTCAAAAATCCTAATACCTGCTGTTGCAAAGTTTTGCTAAAATATGTCTGTAAATGGTTTGGTTATGCAATTTTGCCTCTGTGAATTTGCAGGTCTAGTTGTGCTGCTCTTCTGAAAGAATTTAAATTACTGGTAGAAAGTACTCCAATACGTTTGAAGGAAGGCCTGAGAGTGAAATTGTCGAAGGTATCTAAGTGATCTAGGTGCTTGATTTAATTTTCAAAAGTGAATTCTTGGATGCTTTTTCATATGTTATCCTACATTTCTGTGATTTAAGAATTTTGGGGTGCTTTTTTCCAAAATCTTAACAATGTTGTGTGGTTGAAAACCTATTAGGCTAATTGTATCACTTCAGGACTGAAAAGTTTATCACTGAATTTAGTTGGGGAAGGGAAATTTTTATAAACTTCTAATCAATGAAATGTTAAAGATATAATATTGCATAGTTTTGCTGGCACAGAGGTAACAGGTATCTGTTGAAATCAACCACGTTGCAATGTTGTGTTGTAGGTGTGGATATTGGTGATTTCTTCTTTTTAGCAATTAAAGAGTTATTTTAAAAGAGTAAAAAAGCAGAAGGCTTGTTACTTTTCGCCATACATTTTTGTATGCTTTACTTGATATGTGCTGTTGCTTAATTTGTGCATCCCATTACTGTGGCAGTACAGAGCAGTTACTGCAGATGCCATCATCCTCTTAAGTACACATACTGTACATTAAGCCACATGTTTATTTTATGGCCTAAGCATTTTAGAGCTTTCCTAGCAATAACTAAAAAAACTAATGGAGTATGAATGAGAAAATTGCCTTTTTCATTTGATAATTTAGGTTTAACAGGATTCTTTTATTACTTTAGCTAACACAAAATTGCAGATCAGGGCAGATGAGATCAGTTTAAGCAGTATCAGCAAGTGTTTGAATTAGATTTACTGTGAGCCACGTACTGCAGCTTTCTGAAAATACAGGTAGTTATATCCAAGCAAACTGTCCAAAGAATCCAAATTAGGGCATCCTAAGCCATGCCCTCTGATTATTGGGTAGAATTATTTCCCAGTGCAAGATGTGCATTACAAGTGCATTACCTACCACCAGTGGAATAATGGATTTTTAGCATAGATTCCTGCCCTGGGATTCATTAGCGCTCACCTTCTGCCTGTCCCTGTGCATACCACAAACATGGCTGATAAGCCTTTCGTTTGCACTTCAGGAATATTTTTAATTGTTCTTTTGCAAATATTTGCATTTCGTAATAGCAGTTTCAGGGTGATTCCTATTAATTCACAAGCAGCTGAGTGTAGGACTTAAATATTGGTCTTCATGCTTCTGAGTTTATTTAGCGTAGATTAGAGGGCATTAATCTTCCCCAAGGCTAATGAGGCAGGGATGTATTGTTTTATTCATACTCATAGACCAGTTTACACAACAGAAAGATGCAGTCTTACTCAGAGGGTTAGAGTCTCTCCTGCTGA